CACTGCTACTAAATCTGTGGCATCAACATTTCAAATTCTGCCTTAAATTAAGAACAAAACTTCTTGTTCCCCAAGAGTATATTCTGCAAAATTTTCAAGTTGTAGATTTGTTTGATTTTTTTTTAAATTATAGGTCCAAGTTTCTGAGATTACAGAGGCACTTTGGGCTACTCCGTTACTAAACCCCTTTTGCAACGGCCAGGACTTGGATTAAATGGGGGGTTATCATGCTTTGGACGTGTCATCCGAAGAGAAGACTCTCTGGAACAGAGAATAATGTTAGGAAAAGTTGACTACGGTAGGAAAACAGAAAGCTCTACCACGAGACGGACTAATTCAGTAACAGAAGCCATAGAGGCCTCAGTTGCAAGATTTGAGCAAGGCTGTTAATGACAGAACCTTTTGGAATGTCATTAATTCATAGGGATGTGAGAAGCAGCCTGGCACCACAGAAATGCATGGAGAGAACTTTGCATGGTGGTCAGAGAAATGTCTGGCAGGGGCAGAGAAAGCTGGGGAGATTCAGAAGGGCAAGAAACTGTCAAAAAAAGGAAGGGACTGAGCATCCTACCCATTTCAGACTTCAACCTCATGCTTAATCAATCCTCTTCTCAAAAGAAGGGAACATCTTACCCCAGTCTCCGGATGAGCTGTCCAAGCCAACTCCGATGTCACCCACTTCGTATCCATCAGTGTTTCTAGAGGGAGAGAAAAGGAGAAAAAGAGAACAACTTCAGTGTCACGGCTGCACACAACATTTTGGAAAAAAAAAATCTATCTCATTTTAGGGAAAACAAGAGAAAGAGCTAAAAATCACTCTGCAGAAAATGGAACAATGGGGACTTGAAGGGACATTGCAATGCTATCCAGCACCCTTGGATTTATTTGCAAATCAAGGAGCGGGACGCCTGGCTGTGGTGAGCATGTGCGGTGTGGAGAAGCCACATTGCACATGTTCAGACACATCAGTATTTCAACAGGTTTCAAAGACAGGCCCTGAGCTTTGGCGGGGGGGGGGGCACATCAAGGCTAAGCCCGGACCCCAAAATGAGGTCTGGAACAATGTATCCCAAAAAGGTAAAGACCATCCATCTCTTAAGAGAAACTTTGGTAATTAATAGGCTGTAAAACAAGGGCCAAAGTTATGGTTACACTTTGTGGAGGGGCTGACACACTGCCATTCAATGCAAGACCTAGGAGTTATAGATCTGCTCTAGCTTAAATAATGAAGCGTCTTAGACCCCAAAATGAGGTCTGGAACAATGTATCCCAAAAAGGTAAAGACCATCCATCTCTTAAGAGAAACTTTGGTAATTAATAGGCTGTAAAACAAGGGCCAAAGTTATGGTTACACTTTGTGGAGGGGCTGACACACTGCCATTCAATGCAAGACCTAGGAGTTATAGATCTGCTCTAGCTTAAATAATGAAGCGTCTTACGGTACCTTAAAATTTAACAAGTTTGCTTTTGCATAAGCTTTTGTGGACTGCCATCCACCGGATCCGATGTATAGAGTATTGCTGGATTAGGCAGATATTAACACCCATGTTGGAGTAGGCGCAACCCAAGAAAACGTAAAAGGTGCGAACACGGATGATGCTTTTTAACAGGGTTATGTAACAAAGAGTCATTGGGAAATGATAAAGACAGCCTAGCACTGATGGGATGCTAATACACATATATTGTAAACCACGAGATCCTTGACACCTTTCAACAACCATTAAAACACTCTTAGGATAATCTACTGATACCATTTGCATTTCCTTTCTCCCAAAGATCTCCACAGACCTTCAGTACTGGTCGTAGATATCTACCAAGTAACAGTAGACTCAAGAGAGCCAGTATGGTAGAGTGGATTATGTTTAAAACTCAGGAGAAGAGATGGGCACGAACCGGTTCATCCCAGTTTGTAAAGGTGCCACTCTCTTGCCCCACCTCTTCTGGCTCAATCAGCCATTCACCATGCCCAGCTTGCTTGTTTTTTTCTACCTCTTCAACTGATCTTCCAGTCCCGGCAGCAGCTCAGGCTTCTCTGCCCCGCCCTCTCGGCTGATCTCCCAATCAGAGAAAAGGGCGGGGCTGAGAAGTCTGTGCTCTTGCTCCTGACTGGAAGATGAGCTGAGGAGGGTGGGGGGGAAAGCAAGCAAGCTGGGCCTTCTGAGTGGCTGATTGGCTGAGGAGGCAGGGGAGGAGCACAGCAGCACCTGTCCTGCCGCCTTTAACAACAGTGACGAACTGAGACGAACCGGTTCGTGCCCATCTCTACTCAGGACACCTGAGTTCATTTCCCTGCATGGCCATGGAAGTCCAAAGGGGATGGTGGTGATATTAAACCAGCCCTTGAACTCGTCACTTACCCTGAAAGCCATACTGGGGTTGCCATTAACTCAGAAGTGACCTGTGAGCATGTAACACAACAGTGCACACCACACATCTGATGAAGTGTGCTGCATTTTGCAAGTTTATGCTAAATAAAACATCTTCACAGATCTGATAAGAGGATTAGCACAGATTTCTCAAAATTCTGTAGTCCACCTTAACATCCATCTCATCCTACTTCAATTCAGACATACTCCATTCCTTTTTTTTTTCTGCATAGAAGGGAAGGAAAAAAAAACACCACCCAAACACAGAAATTATTGTGCCTTCTTCCCCACTCCTCACACACTTTGGTGGTACTACCGTGTATTTATTCTGACTCTGGTGGAAAATGCCTTTTCTCTGTGATTAAAGCAATGCAGATCTCCAAGCTGGTTTATTCAGCAGTGGAGAGGGGTGGAGAACAAGAGGCTGTTTCTCTCCTGCCTTCGCCGCGCATTGCTCACATGTGCGTGTGCGTGTAAGGCTGTGTGTGATTTAAAAGTGGGAAGGATTTGACCGTCTGGCCAACATTCCAGCAGCAGATTAAGCAGCCAAACCTCTCCGTCAGCATTCCCCGAAGTGCCTCCTGAGTCTCAGCCTTCAGGGGTGAAGAGAAAGAGACCGGAGAGTGCGCGCACACTGTGGGAACACAGAGGAAAACAGTCTCTTTGGGAAGCAGTTGGGTCTGTACATAGAGAAGGTTGACCCACGAGGCATAACGGGTCATCCACAGCCACCCCCCACAACTGGGATGAAGACTAAGAGCTAATAAGCACATGGAATTACACAGTGGCATGTTAAGAACTTGCCCGGGAGGGTCAGGAAAAAGAAAATAAAATTCTTTTCTTGACTACACATCTTTGGACCACCACAACCAACCACCACCATGGCCCTTATTGGGTGCTTAAAAATAACAAAAGACTTCTCTAAACCCAATTGATGGTCCCACCTAGAGTAGGCCCATAATATCAGAGGACTTACCCAGGGGTTGACTTGCCATTGAGCAAGTCCTTCAATGAGACCACTCTACTTGGGGCTAGCCACTGGATTTAGGCCTCTTGCATAGCTGTTTCCTACAGAAGTATTATGAAAGATGGGGTTGTTCAGGGGAAACTACCTTGAGGATGACAGCTTTAGTGTGTTCATTCAGGCAGGTTCCATGTAAAGCATCTGGAACGGTGCCATCGGACAAAGCCAATACTTCCTTCCCCTCTGCTCAGACTATAACAGGCAAAGTTACAAATTGAGATTACGCTGGACTTTGACCCTCCCTACCCCAAGCATACAGAGTGGATAACGGTAACAACAATAAGAAATATCCCTGATATACACATTGCTTCCCACAGCAAGCTGGGCACTCAATTTACTGACTTTGGAAGGATGGAAGGCTGAGTGAACCTTGAGCCGGCTAACTGAGATTAAACCTGGACCATGAGCAGAGTTTTGGCTGCAGTACTGCAATTCAACCTCCCTACCCCAGGCCCACGCATACAGAGTTTATAATGATAACAACAATAAGAAATATCTCTGATATACACATTACTTCCCCCAGCAAGCTGGTCACTCAATATACTGATTTTGGAAGGATGGAAGGCTGAGTGAACCTTGAGCTGGCTAACTGGGATTAAACCTGGATTGTGAGCAGAGTTTTGGCTGCAGTAGTTCAATTCAACTTCCCTACCCTAGGCCCAAGCATACAGAGTTGATAATGATAACAACAATAAGAAATATCCCTGATATAGACATTGCTTCCCACAGCAAGCGGGGTACTCAGTTTACTGACTTTGGAAGGATAGAAGGATGAGTGAACCTTGAGCTGGCTAGCTGGGATTAAACCTGGGTCGTGAGCAGAGTTTTGGCTGCAGTCCTGCAGTTCAACCACTGCGCCACAAGGCTCCGCATCGCTCTAGGCAAGGCTGCTTTAGAAATACTGGTAATTCAGCTCTTTATGCTGAGCCGATGAAAGGTGTTAGTGAGTATTCACCTCAAACAGAAACCAAGACATCTGCCGTGTTATGAACAACACCTTTGTTTTGAGCGGCGACAATTTCCAGAAAGAAACCAGCACAACAAGCAGGAAAGACCCAATCTGTTCACACAAAAGCTGTTTAATAATTACACAACACAGGCCATAATTTGGCAGGAAATTCATTCTGCAGCCTACTTAGCATAGTGAATAATCCAGCCCTAAGACCAGCATGCTGGTTTCTGAGCAAACAAACTCTTCTGCAATGCAACCTTTTAAAAACTAAGAGATGCATTCAAACTTTTAAAGTACGTATGTTTTTATGTTCTTGTACTGTTCTTATCAATGTGACATATACAAGATGCTGGTATACATGTATAAAAATCTGCCATGACCTCTCCCTCTCTTAGGTCTGAGGAAATGGACTTGCCCACGAAATCTCACAGTAAAATATAAACAACTAGTCTTTAAGGTCCATAATGTTTTTGTCCTTTTTATTTGTCCTTTAATTTTTTTATTTCTCTTTTTCGTTTTTGCCTGTAATGCTTGCACAGAGTAACATGGCTACCTCTTCTGATAATACAAGAACTGGCTATCCAGTATTAATTACTTTAGGATATAGCCTCAGGTTTGGAATCAACAATTACCGTATTTTTCTGTGTATAAGACACCCCCATGTATAAGACACCCCCCACTTTTCTAACCCAAACTTAAGAAATCTAAGTGGGGTTTAGCAAGTGGAGGGGAAAGCAGGAATCAAAGCCCTACAGGATCACTTTGATCCCTGCTTTCCCCTCCACTTACTTTTGTTCTCTCCTCAGCTTACTTCTGTGTATAAGACAACCCTCAATTTTTAGTCTAAAGATTTTAGACAAAAGTATAGTCTTATACGTGGAAAAATATGGTGATTGCACTGAGGAGCACAGAAAGCCGCATGGATATAGCTACCGAATCAGCTCATTACGGTAGTGAGATGTGAAAAGTTACTTTTCTTCACTATCACTTCCAGAACCTCATAGCTAGGACACCCACAGGCCATGTTGGGGGTTATAATCTTTTTTTTAAAACCTTACAGCTTTCCTTCCTAACAACTATGATTCTCCAGCTACAAGAAACTGGAAACAGTGAGGCCCATTGTTCTTAGATTTTGAGATATAGCACCACGTTTGCTTCAAATAACCTGGAGATGACATCTTCGTGGTAAAAGTATTCCACTCACTACTGAGTGCTAAAAATGTTTCTGTTGAAACATCACAAGAAAAAAAAGAGCAAATCAGAAAGAGATGAGGTTCTATCACTGTTGTCTTTGTAGAAAGGAACAGTTTTTTAAAAAAAAACATGCACCCACTCTGTCCAAGAAACAGAGAAC